AGCACCCGCGCCCAGCTTGGACAGCACTCTGTACCTGGCCCATCTGCTGATCGATGTCGTGTTGAGGTGCTGCGATATATTTTGGAAGTCATGGAACTGTCAACTCCAATTCTGCAAAAACATGTAAGACCAGAATGACTCTGAATTTTGGTCATGTGCATAGATTCCATTTCTGGCAAGTGATATATATATATATATCTGGAACAAAAAGGCCGCGAAGCGGCGCTGCCAGCCTTGCATTGTACAGCTGGTATGGCATCACAGGATGATATCCTGGCCGTACAGATGTAGCTCCTGCCCTTTGGAGCTAAAATCATCTTGGAATGGAGAGCCAGTTCTATTTGGTTCCTTTGAATTTAGAATCTTGTTACCCTCCAGTAATCAAACATGACAATATCCATCATTTACCCTCTGGTAAACTAACATAACTATGGAAAATCACCATTTTTAATGGGACAACTCACTATTTCTATGGTCATTTTCAATAGCAAACTGTTTGTTTACCAGAGGGTACAGTTGATGTTCCCATAGAAAGCTCCATTTTCGATGAAAATTCACAACCGCTATGTCGGTCGACCAGGCACCTCCGCGCTTGTAGTCCCTTGGGTCATCTTCATCGGAATGTCCATCTGAAGAGCCCTGAACAAAAAGGAAACCCATAGGAAAACCATAGGAAAACCATAGGAAACCCCAAAGTAGCTGGGATTTATGTATGACAGAAACATCAGTTGGTAATTCATGATAATTCGAGGAGCTTTGAGTATAATAACTTTATAATAACGTATGATAGCTGTACTACCCTCTATTTACTAGGGATTATCATAATCCATGAACGCCATGAAAATGTTCACCATGATTTTCACATTTTTCCAACGTCCCATGTGCGAAAAACTTCCCCCGCTGTCGAACTCGCCTCACTCTCGCTGTAACTTCCACTTCTCGAGTAGCTATAGCTTCTCGATGCGCTTCGCGTCCGAGCTGCCAGCGGCACGGTTGCTATGCATCGTGTCACTTTGCGCCTCTGGTAGCCAACCAGTACCAAACATGCCATGGAAATCTTGAAGTCACCATTTCTGAGATGTGGAAAAATACAAAAATTAATATATATGTAAACATATATTATAAACCTTCATGTATAAATAACTATCTACCCTTAGTATAGGCATGTATAAACTATCGACCGCATCCCATGGCCTAATTGTTCTTGCCATGGTATAAAGAAACTGTATCACATGGCTTTGCGCATCCTTGCGCTGAACCCACCCAAGGCCTGGTTTTTGCGGTTTTTTCTTGCATTTGGCCGCTGGTCGTCGATTCTGGGCCGGGGCGAGTTTGTTGACGTGTGATTGACCCATCCGGGCCCCAAAGATGTTCGTCACTGGGGGTGGTGGTATCTTAAAATATCCCAAAAATGGGTGCCAATAACGAATCCCTAGAACATCTTACATGTCCCCTGCACCTTTCGACGCGGCTTCGGCATCGGCAGGAAAATCTAAAGGCCGAATGACAAAACTGCCAATTTCTTGCGTGGGTTTGTCCGAGAATGATGGGGATCTCCCACTTCATGGCTAACGGAGAAAATTGGATTTTGAAGGTTTTCCTGACCTTTTCAAACAAAAAAAACTGGCTGCTAAGGTTGCACTCTCTCTTTAGCAGGTTGGAATAGGCTTTTGAAAGTTCCATTGTTCTGCCCCAGTCCAACATAAGAGACATACAGCCCTGGTGCAGTCATGTGCCATTCATGCCATCTGACAACGTGTCTGGAAGGTCATCTCTGGGGCTTGGTGAACAGCCAAAAATCTTGAGCCATCGGAAGAATCGTTGCATGCAGCTGACCCTTCCGTTCAACACACACACACACACAACACCCATCTGTGTTCAAGGTATTTTCCCTACATATGAGTTCATCAGACTTCATCATACTTCATCGAATCGTGTTAAATCCGACAGAAACTGCTGGACAATTTGGTCGGTGGAAAGTATATTTTTCAACTGGAAGCGCAGAGTCCGTCAGAAAACCCCCAAATGCCACAAGTACCCTCTGGTAAACAAACATAATTATTATGCAAAACCACCATTTTTATAATATGTAAATCAACTATTTCTATGGCCATTTTCAATAGCTATGCTTGTTTACCAGAGGGTAAGAGAAAACAAGAACGGCCATGGATTAGGTCCCTGGGCGGTGAGATACCCTCTGGCATTCCCTTGCGCACCTAGGTCGATGACTCAATCTATATATATATATATGCATATGTCTATAATGGATCTATATACCTGTGAAATATATATATATATACCTGTGAAACCCAAGTGTGGAAAAAAAATGCGACAAACACATCTTGGTATGATAAATGCGATGGAACATGAAAACTGCTATAACATGTCACAAGTGCGATATGGCATTTGATCGTGTTGTTCACATACCCCCGTCCAATCGCATCAGCTCATTTCCTCAAATCTTAGGCTGGTTATAGCAAAACTAGCACTAGCACAAGTCATACTGAAATTTTTGGCTGAGGTGGACATATCTGAACACTTAAGCAAAATGTATATCCAAATGTTGTCCGAATGTTTCCGCGATATTCCCGCAAATTTCCGCGATTAAAAAATGGATCTGATTGAACAGCATTGAAATCTGCGCGAGACCCACGTGTTTTGACCATTTGGAAGGCGTAGCGTAGACCAAGAAAAGTGAGCAGGTAGGGAAAGTGAAGAAACACTCAAGATCCCTGCGCCTTTTGAGAAATGCATTCTTCCCAAACATGGAAAATTGCGGTATTGAGTTATTTTTGCGATGCCACCGGCCTTTTTTCCAAAAAACATGCTTTATTGAAATCACATTTTTTTTGAAGCACTTAGGGTGACCCAGGTATGTGTTACATGGGGGTTGTTCTAAATTATGGTTCCGTGGATGCGGCTTCGGTTTTACAGCCCTTGTGCTTCCCGGATGCAACACTTCGCAATTATAATTGGCATGTTTGTCCATGTCACTGGGCGCAACAGGTTATATTTTGCTATCGATAGGTCAGCTATGGTCAGCTGTTGTCAGAAACATGGACTTTGAACTGCTGGGCAGATGGCCATACTTTTACCTATATATCCGGAAAGCAAGAAAGAAGAGAGAGACAGAGACAGACAGACAAACAGACAGACAGACAGACAGAGAGAGAGAGAGAGAGACACAGAGAGAAAAGATAGAGAGAAAGACAGAGAGAAAGACTGCAGCTGCAGACTGGCGAGCTTGCTGTAGTTCTCTTGCAGGCCAAGTGTCGCGCGTTCCAAGCGATCATTGTCCGATGGTCAAGGAAGGTGGTGAGCTAATGCCCGTCAGCCTGGTGGGTGTTGCATCGCGTTTAAGTTGCAGATGTTGTTGATGGGTCCTGCCAGAGCCGCCGTGAAGGCCAGGGGTGAGAAAAAGTCTCCGCAAAAGGCTGGTGGTGACAAGTTCTGGTGTTGCTGGTGTGGATCCAGTGGTGCTGTTGTGACCAAGCTTGTTTAAGAGTTGCCATGGTACGCCGAGGCGTTCGAAGCAGTGGAGGGCCAAGGTGGGGTGGACGGTGTCGAATGCTTTGGCGACGGTGATGGTTGGGTGCTTCCTGGCCGGAGGCTGTGCGAGGCCCGGAATCACCAACGAGGAGGTGCGCACATGATTCCTGAAAGAAAGGAAAGAAAGACACAAAGACAGACAGACAAACAGAAACACAGAAGAAAGAATGAGAGGCCTAGCGAAGGAAATATACGCGCAAAAGAAACTGATATGATGAAGCATCTGTCCACACGGATAATATTGGCCTACTGATGCTTGCACGCCAGTGGACACGTGTGTTGTTGCTTTATTGTATTCGTCCCCTCCTCATTTTGCTACTTTTCCCTCTTCTGTAGCTGTTCAAGATTCTTCTCTTTGAATGAAAGCGGTGGTGGAAGCGCGGATGAGCTTGCAACTCTTCACTGTTTCAGACAACTTTCAGACAGGTTTCAAATCATTTTGAGGAGCCCAGAAAAGTTTAGAAAGGATCAGGAAAAAGAAAAAAAAGTAGTAGAAAAGAAAAGTCTGCCTAAGAAAGAAGAGAAATGATTTTAGAAAAAAGAACGCATCATTAGGAAACAAAAAAGAAGAACACAAGCATCACAATGATCGAAGAACAATATTTGACGCATAGCAAACGAAAAGGATGCTAGAAATGGATAAGTAGAAAAGCCACACAGAACAAGGAGGTAAGAACAAATAAGAAGACCAGGACAAAAAAGATACATGTACTTATTGTGTAACCTCGTGTTTTCACATCTCTATTCCGGCAATGTTATATATATGTCGCTTAAATTAAATAAATTAAGACGGAAGAGGCAAGGCTTTTGAACCTCATCATATCTCGCTTCATTCTAGCTCTTTTCCACCCGAGTTTTTACCCAAACAAAGCCAAACAACACCATATTGTGCGGTCATTTTAAGATGGAACATGTGACGAAACTGTGATTTCGGAGGCGCATCTAGTGGATCTGCCCATTTTTTTTCGGCCACTGGAGCTGCCAACGACGTGCGTCCACTTTGGAACAGCCTGACATGGCTCACAATCTGTGTGTCCCCCATGGCAAATCCAGTCGAGCCCCGTCTGGGCTTCGAGCTTTTCACAAAGGCATTCTGGATGTTGTCTGTGCCAATATCCGCATCCCTGCGCAAAGAGCATTCCTTTCACCAGCCTAATCTTCAACATATGATAACATATGTAATAACATACCCCAGAAACCATGGTGGATGTAGGGGATTTACCTATTCGGGACCATACAATGGAGGTGCTTTTCCAATGGGGGGATGGGATGACAAGAGATTCCAACGTGTTTCCACCACCAAGGAGAAACATGACTGGTTGGTGGTTTCAACCCCTCTGAAAAATATTAGTCAGTTGGGATTATTCTTCACAATATATATGGAAAAATAAAAATCAATAAAAATCATGTTCCAAACCATCTACCAGATGAGAAACGATCGCAGTCTTTTTGCCCGCATGCGATCCGTCCGTGGTCTACCCCATTGCACGCGGCTGTGGAGTCCTTAGGTCGCGGAACAAAAAACAACGCAACTCGTTTCTAAATGTTTCTAATCTGTTTGTCCAATAGGCTATTCAGCAATCCAAGGCTTTTGCAAACCATCTTACCCAGCCATAAAATTTGATCAGTGACCATATCCATCCTCCATGATTGGCCATATCTTGGGCTGCCAGCATTGGTTCTTGAGGTGCATCGACACCTGCAGGTCGTCATTTTCCATGGAGCATGCTGGTGGTTGAACGGAAAAATCCAGGAAATTCACGGAACCCTACTAGCCTACGGATGCGTTTGATCCCAAAAACACCTAGGAGGTTCCGATCAATTGTCCCTTACCCATAGGATCCATGTAATTATGGTATATATGCTAACATTGGGGGTATATTGATGGTAAATGTTACCATATATATATGGGGTTGCGTCAAAATTCGGGTATGGATCGGCCCGCGGTGATCCAGACGTATGGAACGGTCTGGATCACCTGCGTCTTGGTATGGATCGGGGTATGGATCGGCCTGTGGGTTCAGGGTATGGATCGGGGCTTTACATTTTGACTCGCAGCCATATATATATATACCATACATGGATCCTATGGGTTAAGATCCCAGGCTGCGGAGGGCACTGCCATACCCCAGGCGACCCGAACTTGGCGCCAGAACATCGGGCAGCGACTGTGGCGCCTCGGCAGGACTCACGTTGCTCCTTGAGGATTCAAACCGCTGATGGTGGCGCAGCTCAAATTTTACGCCTATCGAAAAGGGCATGAGCACTGGCCAAGCTCAAGCGCGGATCCCATGCTGAGTGGGCCTGCCATTTGACATCAGAATGTTCGGGAACTTCTCTGGGTGGATCAATGGCAGCGCGTCTTTCTTCGCAATCTTGGAAGGAATGAGACGTCGGTGACCGTATTTCGCATTTCGAATGATTCGATTTGAAGCAGTTCAGTCTCTCCAGCAGAACGGCCCAGGATGGGATGCCAACCCTTGGGAGAGCACAGACTACGGCAGCCCTGCTCCGTTGATCAGCAATGCCCGGGAGAGCTGATGGCACGGCCCCATCCTCTCGGTGCCTATCAACGCGAGGCTATACCGCTATACCCAAAGTTGGGCATGCGGATGTAAGCATTCCATGAACCTGAAACGGGCTCACAATTCTTCAAAATCTACAAAGTCTTGTGGCTCACGATCTCGTCCAAATCTCCTTCCGTGCAGTAGCCCTTCACATCCCTTCACGGCCACTGGGATCACGGCGTGGAATGTGATCTTGTCTTTCCAGGCAGCTGAATCTAGCTGTCCATTATGCATTGCCTGGAACTCGTATGGCTTCTTTCCAACAAAATCATCAAAATCACCATGTGAAACTCAGACACCTCTGAAGCCCATTGATCGATCTCGTACTCTCGAAGGAGTAATTCCTCCGTTTCGGCGCCAAATGCAGTGTCAATCACCTTTGCTGAGGACCTAGGCCGCAGCTCGATGCTGGGCACTCTGGTTCCTTGTCCGGCGTTGGGCTACCAAAGCTGCAACCAAATTATCTGGGACTCGACCGAAACGCCGGGAATCTGCCGCCGCAGTAAGGAACAAGAGCAGGCTGATGCCAATCATTGGAATCTCTGGAATATGGTTTCGTGCTTGAGGCATAGATGCTAAGCCAAAATAGCAACATTCCAGGGTTGACAGTACCGTGGCATTCCGGTAGTAGACTTGTCCCACAGAAAAAGACTTGGAGCAGGGCCAACTCCTGTGTGCGGTTTTTGAAGTGATGCCTGGCCAGTGCTGGTGAAAAATATGATAACTCCATGAAATTCATCAAAGCCTGGAGATCTTCGAATGTTTTTCTTATAGTGTGAAGATTGGAGCAGGTTTACTAAAAATCAAAAATCCATTATCCATGCTTCAAATGCAGTCTGGCTTAAGTTTATGAAAAACCGAGCCAGCTACACATTGGAAATTGTTAAAATATTTTTTTTTTCATTTTTTTATCGTTTTGGTTATCATTTTATTTATCTTTTTTTTTTCATTTATGTTTTCATTCATTTTGTTTAATCATTTTATTTTTCATTTTTTTATCATTTTTTTTATCATTTTATTTTTCATTTTTTTTTCATTTTTTTTCATTTTTTTTCATTTTTTTTTCATTTTTTTATCATTTTTCATCATTTTTGCTTCCAATGGTGCAAAAATTTTCCGAAAAATAAAAAATTGCAATTTTCCTCGAGTTTTTTTCATTTTTTTTATCATTTTTTTATCATTTTTGCTTCCAGTGGTGGAATTGATGAAAAATGATGAAAAATGATGAAAAATGATGAAAAAATGAAAAAAAATGAAAAAAAAAAACGAAAAAAAAAACGAGGAAAATTGCAATTTTCCAAAAAATGAAAAATTGCAATTTTCCTCGGTTTTTTTTCATTTTTTTTTCATGTTTTTTTCATTTGTTTTTCATTTTTCATCATTTTTGCTTCCAGTGGTGCAAAAATTTTCCGAAAAATAAAAAATTGCAATTTTCCTCGATTTTTTTCATTTTTTTATCATTTTTTTTATCATGTTTTTATCATTTTTGCTTCCAGTGGTGGAATTGATGAAAAATGATGAAAAATGATGGAAAATGATGAAAAATGATAAAAAAATGGAAAAAAAAATGAAAAAAAAATGAAAAAAACTCGAGGAAAATTGCAATTTTCCTCGGGTTTTTTTCATTTTTTTTTCATTTTTTTTTTCATTTTTTTATCATTTTTCATCATTTTTGCTTCGAGTGGTGCAAAAATTTTCCGAAAAATAAAAAAATGCAATTTTCCTCGAGTTTTTTTCATTTTTCATTTTTTTTATCATTTTTTTATCATTTTTTTATCATTTTTTATCATTTTTTATCATTTTTCATCATTTTTTATCATGTTTCATCAATTCCACCACCGGAAGCAAAAATGATAAAAAAATGATAAAAAAATGAAAAAAACGCGAGGAAAATTGCAATTTTCCATTTTTTGGATTTTTTTTGCACCACTGGAAGAAAAAATGATTAAAAAAATGATAAAAAAATGATAAAAAAATGAAAAATAAAATGATAAAAAAATGATTAAAAAAATGATAAAAAATGAAAAATAAAATGATAAAAAAAAATGAATGAAAACATAAATGAAAAAAAAAAAGATAAATAAAATGATAACCAAAACGATAAAAAATGAAAAAAAAAATATTTTGACCTGGCCCAGTCTGTGGCTGCAAGTTTTTCATAAGCTTAAGTGTGCATTCTAATGATGTCCGTTTCGCCTTTCGGGCGACCAAGATTCATTTCTCTTGGATAGTTTCATCATGTTTCATCCATCACAAATGCAGACCGAAGTGCAAAAGCTGGAGAAGGAGTTCGGTGCGCAGCCTGACGTAGTGACTTTGCAAAGACTTTGTTCGATCTTGTGAGGGTCTTCAAAACCCATGGAATCTCCTTCTGTTCACCGCAAAAAAAAACAAAGTAGTCCGGATTTGTTGATATTCATATGCCAAATTCTAAGCCCAAAGGACCATAGGATTCAGCCCATACCCCATCATAATCATCATACCCCTCTCATTCTCATCAGCTGTGATCATCTCTGATTTTTCCACCCTCACCTTTGTTGCTTCAAGCCCTGAGTATATTGATCGCGTTTCTGCCGCTCCTGCACAGTGTTCATCAAACTTCACCGCAGTCCATGAAAAAACACAGCATGAAAGTGGTGAGATGCGAGCCATGTGGCATTCATGCCCACCGTCCTGATTCACTAAGGCACAAAGCTGGGCGATGCCGCCTGGGTTTTTTTCAGGCTTCCTGTTGAGAAAACTGAGGCTGTTGAGTTTGTGTTTGGTGGCACCAAATTGGAGCACCCTTAACTCTGCTGAATTTCATCTATTTCATCAGAACATGGTAATTAACGATCATCAATCATAGAGAATCATAGTAATTCTCCATGTGTTTTCTGCAGAAAATTCTCCATTATTTCTCCAACCGCAGCTGAGTTGCTGTGCGACTCTTGTAGCATCAACCGCATATTCTTGACCTTCTCTCCTCAGTTTCGGGTAGGATCCTCATCCCGAAATTCGAAAATACGTCAAAAGTACAATCATTACAGCACTCACCTATAATCATTATCAATAGGTTATATAATATATATATATGATAATCTATCTATCTATCTATCGATCGATCTATCTGTCTATCTATCTATCGATCTATCGATCTATCTATCTATCTATCTATCTAATCTATCTAATCTATCTATCTAGCTGTCTGTCTATCTATCTATCTATCCATCCATCCATTCATCCATCCATCTATCCATCTATCCATCTATCCATCTATCCATCCATCCATCTATCCATCTATCCATCTATCCATCTATCCATCTATCCATCCATCCATCCATCCATCCATCTATCTATCTATACACGCTATCTATCTATCTCTCTATATATACGTATATAGATATATCAATATATTTGAATCATGTCTCTTGCTTCATGTGTTGCGGAAAATGATCGAGTTGTCAAGCTAAAAATATCTGAATAGTGAGTCAATGATCTTAGAGTTTCAGGTTAGTAACTAATATAGTCCTGATGAAATGCTTCTTAAACTATCATGACTAACAGTTTAGTCATGTTTAATAGTTTGAAGTTATAGTCATTTTTTAGAGTTCAAAAAAATCAGATTTTAACTGACCTAACCTTCAATTCCCATGGGAAATCCAGGATCCAAAAAAATGGAGGTACTGTACCATACTGTACCCTTCAGAACTTAGACCATATGAATTGTAGGGATATTCCCTGAAATTTACCCTCTGGTAAACTAACATAACTATTGAAAATTGCCATAGAACATAGAAACAGCTGATTTACCCATTGATAGCATGGTGGATCTTTCCAGTTCGCGAACTGTTAGTCATTACCAGAGGGTAAGCCCTCTGGACTCATAGACCATGTTCTCCTCAGAGTGTCCCAAATCACTGGATAAGGAGAGTTCACGCTCCACGCGTTGAACACGTTGGCACTGCACCTTGGAGCGTGTACAGCGGGGTCAGAGATCCCCATTAAAAAATCAGCCATGAATTTGGATGAACCCCCCGGATGGGTTGCTGCTTAAAACCGAACCAACCATGAATATCCCTTGAAAAATCATATGAACTCAACATTTTTCATGGTTAAACCATGTTAAACCATGTTAAACTTATGATTTCTTGGAGATTTTTCACGCCGAGGGGCTTTCAACTGGCTGTTGACCTCATCCATTTCGTCCTGGATCCCGCTGAGATTTTCGCGAACTTCTTGGAGCTCCGTATCTTTCACCTCACGAAACGGCAGGTTTCGGGTCTGAAGAAATGGCCTTCTGAGACCTTCAGGGTTGCTGTTATTTAAAGATGTTTAGCCTCTGGTTATGACGAACAGTTTGCCATGGAAAATTCCACCATGCTATTATATAATAGGTAAACCCAGATAAACCATCTATTTCGATTAGGGCCATGGAAAAACCATGGCTATGTTAGTCATAACCAGAGGGTAAATCATCTGTAGAATGACTTGAAATCACAAAACAATTACCCTCTGGTAAACTAACATAGCTATGGAAAGATCCACCATTGTTCATGGGAAAATCCACTATTTCTAGTCATTTTCAATAGCTATTTTGACATAACCAGAGGGTACACCCATCATTTTCCTATGGTTTTTCTATGGTTTTCCCATCATTTTATGTGAACAGATACCATGTTTATTGATACAAACCATCTAGATCAGTCTTCCGAGTCGACCCAAGTCTACATCCCCAGTCAGGGAGTCACTGCATGTCACTGAGGCGTCCCAGCCTTCAGCTCATGGTCCCGCTGTCCGATGCTGTACGCAACCTTGCTGAGCCTCAGCAAACATGGGATGAAACTCAAGTCGGGGTTATAAAATTGTGTATGTATATATATATATATATATATATCATAATTAAATATATATATATATTTATAAATGGGCCATTTTCCATAGCTATGTTGAATATCCAGAGGGTAAAACTTTTAAAAAAACGATGGGAAGTTGCGGTGCGTTCCCGGATCCCAAGGGCCGAAATCGCTCAAAAATTTGCCAATCCAATGGGAATTTGAATGTTCAGTTTTGACATGGTTTTAACATGGTATTTTCATGTGTTTTACCCTCTGGTAATTTAACATAGCTATTGAATATGGCCATTTAAATTCATTTGTAGTGAGTTGTCCCATTAAACATGGTGGATCTTTCCATAGTTTTTTGTATGTTTACCAGAGGGTAACCATGGCTTTTAACTCACTTGAACTGGGGGTTGATGTTTTCAACACGGAGCCCCTGCTGATCCCAGCGCCAAAACACTCATTCTGAAGAACTTTCGCCTGTCCGTCCAGGCTCCTCTGGAAGTCCTGCGTGGCACGTCATCTGGCGACACATTGTCGATAACAAATACACTCCGGTACTCAAAGGTTGGAATGTTGAAATGGGAAAAATCCGGACTTTCTATGAGCTTACTAGGATAAACCTCAATTTTATATAGTTCGGGGATTTTCCAGCCAGCCACGTTTGATTACCAAAGGGTAATTTTCAATGATGTCCCTTTGAATGCAGTATCTAATCTAATCCGAACCCCTGGATTCTTTAGAGAGATGCTTCCAAATCACCAAAAAAATATCAAAACAAAAACATGTTCACTGATCAAATCCCATTCCCCGAATCTTGAATACACTACCCAAAGAGACTTGGGGGGCAGGGACATGGGGGCTGATATGATCGCGGGTTTGGATTCTCAATGCCATGAAGAATCAACACAACATAACACAACCAAAGATCATCTTATTGGCTATAAATTATACCCCAGATCCAATTTTATACTTCCAATTTTTGCGCATTATGTTAAATCCCCACCAGGGTTGCTCCCCATACCCCAGACACAAGTGGGAACTGGGCAGATACAAATAGAAAGGGAACACATGATCCATGTTCCACCCAAAAGCGGCTATCATTCCCTATCATGGGCGGAGCACCCCATTGTCATGATATCCCCATTATGGTTCAAAGCCCGATTTATCCAAGTTTTGCCAATTTTCCCCCAATATATCATCAATATTACTGGTTCCCTTACCTTCCACCATTGTTTGGTTTCCTGCTGGAACCAGCATTGCTTTCAGCAGCATCTTAGACTCCCAATCATTTAGGATTACCCTCTGGTAATTTAACAGAGCTATTGGAAATTGCCATTTATAGTTGATTTGCCCATTAATAGCATGGTGATTTTCCATAGTTATGTTGGTTTACCAGAGGGTAACCATTGTCAATTGATCTGCTTTGTTCTTGAAAACCTCATCATATCCCAGCCATGGTTTCCATCGTGGTTTCCTTTGGTGGATGTCGGGGATTTGGTTAACGTATTTTTTTGGACAAACATCTTACCCTCTGGTAAACATACAAGAAACTATGGAAAGATCCACCATTTTTCATGGGAAAACTCACTATTTCTATGATCATTTTCAATAGCTATGTTAAATTACCAGAGGGTACCACATCTCAATGTTGGAGAATATTCCTTTTCGATATTCTAAATAGATATTCTGAATAGATATTGGAGAACATTCCATATTTCAATATTCCCATGGTTCCACCAGACATCCCACTGGGCTCTCCCCATGGTTCCTCCATGGAGGCCACTTCCGAAAGACGGGTGCGCGCCTGGCAGGTCACGGTGAATCATATACCTTGACCGTGACCTGCAAAAACCTGGAAAAAAAGTAGGGTTTAATACTATATGTCCATTGTTTTTTCGGGGTTTGGTTGCTTAAGGTATATATATATATATATATATGAATTGAAAGCTATACTTTAACAGTGGTGAATCAGTTATTATGTAGAGGTATTGAAAGTTATACTTTGATTTAATAGTGGTGAATCAGTTATTAACAGTCCAGTGGTTGTATACAGTGTATATATATATATATATTCCAGTATATTTATATTTAATTAGACTATAACAGTCATATAGTGGTTTCAAACATGTTTAATACCAATCCAGTAATATGAATCCAATAACTTAAAAATACTGGTAAATTACACTTTGGAAATGGTGGCGAATCTAACCTTTTAATTGGTGTGAAGAAACATCTACATTGGACTATGTAAAAAAGTATGCATTTCAAACTCTTCAACAAATCTGACATGAATTAACATAAATCAATATGAATCATAGAAAGGATAGAACAGATTATTCATGGTTCCCGTGGTTCCCATTTCATTCTATCTTAATGTTATAATCATGTTATTTCATCTGGAAATGCAACCGGTCTGGTTTGGCCTCTGCTCTCAAGGATTCATGCTGTCGGAGGGACGAGCGAGATTCTGCCAGGTAAGCCTCACCGGACCAGCGGACATGGGGATGGTTCCTATCATCCTGTTTCCTATTGAAAGTTCATAGATTCATAACATGTCATAACAATAAACTGAGGTATCCCCCCTTTTCAGACCCAACCACAATACGGAGTTGGTGATATATATATATATATATGTTTATATATATATATATCACCATGAGTACGTATATCAAAGCCACTCTCTGGAGGAATCCATTGGTTTCCAGCATTGGATCTGCCATCAATTCCTTGTTGTTTCATCAAATACTTCATTCAACATGTTTTCCAACAATGTTGTGGTTGATCTTCATTTTCCCATTGATCTTCGTTCCCTATAAAAACGGTCAGAAGAAAGTCCATGTTTTTCCGGTGGCAAAACAACATAACAACATTCCATAAATTGTCGCTGGTTAAATGGATTTAAATGGGCTCTGAAAATAGGCTACCCCATGGTACCCCCAATTCCAACGGATCGTCATCAGATGTCATCAGTTTAAAAAAAAAAAAAAAAATGTCATGACTGGGTTAGTGTCCCCTATTTTGGATCTACCCAACCAGTGAAGATGTGAAGATCTACCCAACCCAACCAGTGAGTCCTTGGGGGCCATGGTGGCCATGGTGGCCATGTCTTCAAAATCCCTCTGCCTTTCGTTGGTATACTTGTTGGTTAAGAAGTTAAGAACGGGATTCCCCTATTGGATTATATTGGATTATTATATATTATTATAATTCCCAATATATGAAGGGTAGTCTAATCCCCTATAATATCTATATATCTACCATCCAACCAGGCTTTTGAACACCGCAAAAACATGGAAAAACACCACATCCTGACACCGACACCGACTCCGTCGACTCCGTCCTCGTGCGTGACACTCGCGGCTTCAGCCTCGCTATCTCGTTCCTGCCTCAAAGTCATGGACATCATGGGACGATGTTTTGTTCAAGCTTTGTGGGATATCATGGGAGAATTCACCAACAATAATATAATATGGCAGTGTGTCAAAACCTTGTACCCCTGGTGAACATCAAAATAGCTGGTAAATGGATGTTCATCCCATTAAAAATGGTATTAATAGGTATTGATCCATACCCATATGGATATATAGTGGGTTGATAATGGAAATAGAAGATATCCATATTATATAGTGGGTTGTATAATATGGATATATTATGGTGGGTTATTCAATGAGTATATACTATACTGGTGTAGAACCACCAATACAACAGGCATCCATCCCGTATTGGGAATGCTCAAATTATGTGTATATGAGACTGAATGAAAATGCATTGATGACCATCCCCCAACACCTGTGAGTCTGGCGACACCACTGTCAAACACCCCAAGCTCAGGTGGCGGGTGTGAGTGACACATGCAAAAGAACAAATTGGAGTAACAATGAATTAATCGTCTTGTAGATCCATTTTGGTCTTCCTCAATTTCTTCATGAAGGCAGCGTAGCTGTTGTACCATGGCACATGTTCTGATTTAGCAGTAATCTGTAATCTGTTTTACCCCGGTATTTCCATGAAATATGTGAAAAGTTCGCAACATAGTGCAACCAGTTGAACCTACCTCATTGGTCAAAACATAAAAAAATGAAAAACCTATCAAGAATGGGTTGCGGGTTGGGCTGAAACCTGCTAATATTGTCCTTTAAACATCAACGACGACGAAATGGGAAGCTTCTCATGCCCTAGTACCTGGCCTCCAGCCCCGGACGTGGTCATGAGCACTCAAGAGCTCCTCCGTCAGCAATGGGAAGGTATGTAAGTTGATAGTAAAGGTTGATAAGTGTGTGTGTGTGTCTCTAACATATTTGGTTAGATAATCTAACCGGTTTAATATGCGTTGTTTAATAAATTGATCACATCTTACAATATATATATATGTATAATGTGTATATATATATATACGTGATTTATATATGTATAATGTATATATGTAATATGTATATGTCATATATGTATGTAAATCATATTTACGATACATGATTAAGTGGTTGTGTCGCTGTTTTTTTATTATCACCCTGTGGTATGTTGTTCGGTGGCCAGCCCCACTTAAGCCCGTCGCGGTCCTCACGAAGGGCAGCTAACTGGAGCTTCGAGTAGTTCATTTCCTCATGCTGAGATTTGGTCGCCTCTTTCATTTCAGCCTCCAAGGCGTCAGCGTCCTTGCGGCAGTTGAAGGATGGATGTACCAACAAAAAGGCCATGTTGATAGGAAAAGTATGGGAAATGATTTCTCATATTAATGATAATCCCCAAACCATTATCAACCATTATAATACTATCGATAATGTATCAACCATCCATTATCATCCATTTTTTCGGGTTGTCCCATAAACCTGCAGATCATCCAAACGCCAGTCCCGGAGCAAGCGAACAGAGGCTGTCTCACTTTGAAGAAACTCTTCCTGGAGCAGAGCGCAAGTTGCGCCCTGAAGGCGAACACACAAACTGTCCCGAAATTGACACTTCCACATTCATTGGACTGGTTGAATAGGGAAAATGTACAGGAACCTTCCATATTTCATGGGGAAAACCATGGTTTGCTGATGGTTCCTGTAGATTTTCCCTTGAACCAAGTCATTGACAAATCAGAATCAAAAACACACTGGAGAAGCACCTGCAAAGCTCGTCTTTCTTCATCCTCTGCTGCCAAAAGCCTCCCTGGATATGAAGGCCATGGAGAACTGTTCTCACACAATACGCCTTGCATCGCCTTGCAGTATCAATAGTATTATCCTCGGAACTCCTCCGATGCAAAAAAAAACAGCGATTTAAGGTTTATGATCAAAATTACTGTTTTTTGGATTGAACCCAAAAAACGACTCAAATGCCTGAAAATCATGTTCTAAGAGGATGTAAGACGTACTGAATATGAAATATGTAATTCACAGTGTTTCACCCACACCTCAGCCATTTCTGTTCACTTTCCCTTTCCTTACCGCTGCACCTATGTGCTTTCTAGGAGGACCTGTATTATTTGATATGTTTGTGTGCATAGTGCATGCATGGACCATCAGTTTTGACACATTTTGACAATGTGGGATTGAGAGCATGTGTTTAGCAAAATCCTGTGACCCAAATTACCCGCAAAACGCCCGCAAAAATCCCGCAAACGCGCGCAAAAACTGTCAAACGCGCGCAAATCCTGATTTCTGGTCATTTAGGGTAATTTGAGTCGTTTTGCAAAGGACGCATTTTTGACCATGTTTGAAGGACAATGGGTTCAATCGCTCTCATGCCCATTCTGTCTGTTTGGGTTTACCGATTAAGCAGCAGGGCTTGCAACCCAGGACTGAACCGCTATTTTGGATTGATGGTTTCCAGATGGGGCAATCATGATGCCCACAACCTCTTTCTCCAAAGATCGCCTTGTTTTCATTTTATGACTTCAAATCGCTGCGTTTTTCTATGAAATGCCTCATTACCTTAAACGCCTAGAATTTTCCATGCAATGGAAGCTTGAGGATATTTATATCATTTTATATCGTATTATATCAATTACCCTCCAGCAATATAACATGGCTATGGAAAATCCCCATATTTATCCACATTTAGAAGCCATTTTCACAGATATCAACCTCCACTTAGTTCGGAGCTTTCCCAGCCACTGCCATGATGACACAGGAGGGGATATCAACTTGCTTGCTATGAATTCAACATGTTTCATGTTTATCAAATTTGACCTCGACATCAGCAGAGTTTCCAGGATTTTGTCGTTGGGACTCGCACGAATCATCTCTTCTTGATGTTTCTCCTGCAGTCTGCGCAGTAGTTTGGTCATGAAAATGGTCTGGCACCTGGATCATCATCACACCTCCCAAACCATGAAATATCATAAAACAAGCAATAAAATAGGTCATTACTGGGATAGCAGGAAGGGATCATGTCTAAACCTTGGGAAACCTTGCGACTTAAACCCCAAGATTTCAAGCCACCAATCAAACACACCCACTGCTGAAACGTACATTGGGAGGACATCGTCTTAAGTGTGTTTTAGGATGTCCCCTGATGTCCCAAGTTGCCTTATACGGCACCATTCAACGACCAAAACATTGCACCAAGGATCACCAAGGGATGTTTCTATGGTCATGGACTGTCACCACTGGGCTACAGAGCTGCGATTTTGACACCGCACTTGGCGCGGTGGTCGAAATTTCGGGTGGTGAAACGCGGAAATGGAAACAAAATTGATCCGCTTCTCCCATAAGAGGGACCTGGTTGCAAAAATCTTGAGCCTCATATGGTTTGATCTGAAAATGTCAAAAGGGAAACTCCCAAATCCTCAAGCATCAACTGGTTGATCATGAAAAATTGCAAAAATACTCATGAATTTTAAAAGTTGTATGTGGCAATTTGTGGCATCTCAAAGTGATAATTTCTGTACAAGGTACCTCGACTTTGGGGAGTTGATTACATCAGAACGACGCTTCCAGCGTGTCCGAGGAAAATTGCCAATAGCAAATCCTGAGAGTTTCTCATATGAGCAGCACAGTGGAGATAACATGATACAACATCTGGGTTTCAGTGTTTTACCATAATTTTACCACGTGTTCCTTCATTCTCAATTCTATTTATCTGTTCTTCAAGTCTTGGTCCAGCAGCTGAGATTGCGACAGCGGCCGTCCGTCTGGCCGAACTGGTTTTGGTTCTGGGCGTCGAAGTGGTGGTGGTAGACTCGGCAAGCACGAAACTGGCGGGCGGAATACTCTGGTGCTGTGGATCCGAGCACGATATCCTGGGGTAAAATCTGGACCAGTTTGGTATGGATCGGGGGGAAAGGGATGTAGGGATGTGAGCCCAGGTGTCTGATCCGTACCTGATATTTCTACGATGTTTATCTATTTTCTACCTGCCTATAGGGCCTTTAATAGATGTAACATGATGTAACTTCAAAATTGAAAGGACTCAAAGACCGATAAAGACCGACGAACATTTCCGAACTCTGCTTACACCTGAAGTTTTGTCGGCTTATCTGTTCGGTATCTTTAATAAACCGTGGGCCGGATAGCCATGGCCACCAAGACACGAGGAAGCTGGTAGTTTGAGTCCAGTATGACGACCACGTCGTTGTGACGCTGCTGCTCCTGCCGGTGGATTGATTGAAATTTTCAACACCAACGGAAGTTTCATTCCATCATATCCCAACATATCCCATCATATCCCATCATATCCCATGATCTCACCTTGTAGAGCTTGAAGTGCTACTGGATGATGTCAAAGTTGTTGACGTTTTGGTTTCAGTGGTACTGTTTGACGTTGAACTTGTGGATGAGGTGGTGTAGGTCCTTGGTTTTCGAGATCATCCCAAACTTTAATGGGTTTGAGGGAAGATCTAGGGCCTAGGGGAAACCATGGATTCAAAGCCCAAATTCTCGGAGTTTCCTGTAGATTTTCCCGGAAACCGATTGGGGGAAAACATGGTGGAGTCGGTTTACATCCTTTTACCCTCAATGGAAAACCTCACAATGGACCATCACCATCAAGAGTTGGGATGTTCCATAAAAGCACCACTAAGAAAGCACTGAGCAACAGACTGGGTGAGGCTTGTTGTGGTTGTAGAGGAGATATAGAAGTCCACGAGACTAACATTGACCTTTTCAGCCATGGCTGTGTGTCAAGTCGTCAAGTCGTCACCCAAATTCTGCCGAAACTGACGTCTCTGAGGCCCCAACTCCTCCCAACAAGCGCCAATTCCCCTGGAAAACAGATCACTCAAAACATCTCAAAACCAATAAAAAAATGGAATCATTGCGCCTCGTGCCTAGACCCTGAATTTGCCCATCTTTGTGGGTCAGGTGGGTCAGTGTCATGCCAAGTGTTCCCAGGCAGCTGAGACCCAGTTCCAGCCTTGTATGGGGCGATCTGAATGGCCGTAGCACCTCAATCCATGGACTCTTGGCTTCACTGAAGTCAACTGAAATCTTGAGATGTTGATATTAAAACTCCACACTTGGCCTCTTGCAATCAACAGCAACTTACCATCTGGAAGTCAAACATGGCAATTGAACATGCTGTATACATGGAGGTTTTGATATGTTTTGATGGGAACATCGAAGTAAATGGCTGATTTTCCATGGCAATGATGACACAGGAGGGTACATCACATCACATGATCATCATCCGCATTGTATCCCTATCATATATAAATAGATCCCCATGAAATCCCCCATTAGATCAGGATGAAATCCCCATTGGATCCCCCATAAAAAACTCATACCAACCACGACTCGCACCTGCAGGCACTGGGACACCCTCCAAGCCGAAACCTTGGATGATCGGCGACCGTGGCCGCTGGGACCACGGCCATGATGACCGGAGAGGAATTCTCTGATCCAAACTTTTGACCGGTTCGGATACCAGGTCGGATACCAAAGGTCTCTTTTTTTTTAGATGGATGAAATTGGGGTGTCAATTTATGTGGAACCTCAATACCTCCATATATCTCCTATAATGTCACCCCTGGATTAATAAACCATGGTTTATGAATTAGGAGGGTACTCCTCCAATAGTCATAATCCAATACTTAAATGGTACCCCCCCAATTCACCAGCCATTTTGGGATGCTACATGATGGTGGCCTATGGCATCCCCGGTGGCTGCAGCTATGCCAGCTATGCCGCTGTATCGCTCAGGATCACAGCAAATGGCCGGAGGATAGTCACGCTTGCCCACCTGCGAGGCCGAGCACATCAACAGCGTCTAACAGACACAATTTATCGATTCTTATGCAGTCCCCTGATCTGATCCCATATGATCCCATTATATAGATTTATCCAGAATCAACCAAATACATTCCCAAATGATTCTCCCAGAGAAATCCGATTAAATCTCAATTCTTGCTGGTTAAATCACCCTTTATTCTTGTTGTTTAAATCACAATAAAATCTCCCAGAGAAATCCAATTATACAATAGTCCCATGATGTCTCCTATGTGCCCCACACTCCAACCGTATAATCCCCGCACCTTCCAAATAGTTGGTTAAAACACCATTCTTGTTGGCTCAATCGCCGTAAAATCACCATGCAACCCATCGAAAGTCCCCATAAATGTCATAAATTGGGGGAAAAGTCGACATGCCTATCATGATACTATCATAGCTAATTTCAAATTGCTCAATTCTTTTTGATGCTTCAAATAGCAATCTTTTTGCTGCTTATAAAACCCTTGCAGCATCCGCACCTTCCCAATCTCAGCTAGGTCCGCACCGCAATCGTCGATGAAACTTAGGCGATAGCCCCACAAGACGCTTTCGTCAACGAAGCCATCTGCAGCGGTAGGCAGCATCGCACCGGGTCCAAAAATAGGGAAAGACTGGTTTGAATTGAAGAATTCATAGGAAATGAGTCCAAAATTGCTGGATTGAATTATTGAATTGAAAAACCTATAGGATTCCTATTAGGATCATATAGGAATCTTCTGAATTTACTGCAAAATGTTGCTGTTTGGAAGGGAAAGGTGCCAAGAACTTGCCTTTTCGACCGAGAATTGCTATGGGATCCTGACTCTGGTAGCCCATTGGACCCAGACTACCCATAAACCACCCATGACTGGGAATGGTAAGTTTATACCACCGATATATTTATGGTGATTTTCCTGGGATTTCCTGGGATTTCCTGGGGGATGATGCAAATTATGGCATTGGGAATTACCCACCGATAGCCCCTTCCGATGACCGGCGCTTATTGGGTGCCTTTTTGGTTGGGACCAAAGAAGATCCGGCCCGTCACGAAGCCGTACCGCGGATCCGAATCGGTGAAGCCCTGTGCAGTGCAAACCTGGGGTCAAACAACGCGCGCTTGCGCGCGGCTGGAAAAAACATGAGCTTCCCATTGTTATTGGAAAAACATATAAAAACACACACAGTATATAGCATATATAGCATATATAACTATCTTTTGTGAAAAGTACCAGGGTGAAACTGACTCATAGCCATTTGGAGATTGATTTGGTGACGATACGAGACCCACACCCAGCCTATTGAAATGTATCAGCAAGAGGTGAATACGACAATGATCTGGTATGATTGATGAACCCACTGGGAATACCTGTCAAAAAGTTTCTAAATCTGACCAAAAAAAAATGACATGGATGAAAATTGTTGTTGACTCTTGGGCTTTAACTGTTCATCTAGACGATATGGATTACTCTGGTGAACAGCTAAACTCAACAAACCAACAATACCTACGTTTTGTATAGTATTGTAATGTTTACTTTTTGCGGAAAGAAACCTCAAAAGAATATCACCACGGGTTTACAACACGATTTTAAGGGGCCTCTGGCACCTTAAAATGCCTTAAAAGAGTAACCCAACCATACCCAACCAACACATGTCATGAACCGTTGCAAACATGATTAGCTGTAAATAGAAAAACATGCTGCAGATTGATGGCAAGCACAGAATCTTGTTTAAAAAACTTAGTGTTTGCAGTGCAGCTGCCCTGGCATTTTCAGGACACATTACACATTGAATTCAGGACGAATGGGCAGTCTGCCATGAAAGTCAGCCATTCCGCGGCCATTTCCCAGTCAAAGCTGCTTGGCAGAGCACATTCCTTGACATGGGAATCAGTGTGATGTCCTGAGACACGCCATTCCGCTTCCGGTGCGATTCAAGGTAGTTCCAAACAGCATTGATGTAGAAATCTTGAAGACTCAGTCTGGAGTATAAGTATGTTCCCTCATAAAGGACCAACAGCAGCACAAACACTTGAGTAATTCAAAATTTGCCAAATGAGAACCCCTATGCCCTATGCAGCTGTATATAGTGAAAATACCGTGCACCTATGGTTCTCTGCCCCATGGTTCTCGTAAAAAAATGTCTGATAAGTTGTGAAGGAATCATGGCCCTTTTTCAATCTCAAGCAAGTTCCAAAAACACATCAAATCCTGTCTGCATATCTTTCTAGATCCTGGATTTGCCATATTGACAGCCCTGCAAGCAACAAGGGTCCTCATCACTTCATACAAAGACTTCCTGAAACATCTGGCCCTTGACTATGGCTCAAAAATAGGGTAATTGCATGTGTGTTACCTATATGGTTCCAACATGGTTTTGTCCTTCTGTTTATCCGATCATGCATTTTTGCCAAATTTTTGGAACCAAATTGTTGTTTCGATCCATTCAACATCACCATTTAGATTTCGTTGTTTGGTTCTATCAATATGGTAAACATTGGTACAGTAAACATCCATTTTTCGGGGAGAATTTGTGAGCCAATCCCACAACCCCGCCAACACTGTTTTGCGAGGTGCATCATCCATAGGGCAGAAGAATTCCGTCACGCCTGGGGCGTAGCACTCCTGCAGCACTGTCGACTCCAAATCAGTAGATGGCAAAACATGAATGTATGGTTCACATGTATACATATAATATCTATATATTTTACACAAACATCGTGATATAGTTCATCACATGTTGTCAACAATATCATATCATAACAGATCATAGATGCACGTACATACACATACATACACATACACATACACATACATATACATATACATACACATACACATACACATACATATACATATACATATACATACATACATACATACATACATACATACATACATACATACATACATACATACATACATACATACATACATACATACATACATACATACATACATACATACATACACACCTACACACATACACGCATACACACATACACACATACATTCATACAAACATACATACATACATACCTAAATAATATATAATATATAATCTATTATGTTAATATATGATATATTATATATAATAAAATATATTACAACATATATTATATATTGTATAGTATATATACTATATTATATATAAAATATTTTATAACATATATAATATATTATATATTGTATAATATATAATATATAATTTATTAATATATAATATAAAATAAATTACATTATATATAATATAATATATATTATATTTAAAAAAACTATTTTATATATAATGTTGATATATTAATATATAATATATATTATATATTATATATAATACATATATTTATATATAATTATAATTATATAATTATATATATACACGTATTATATTATACTGTGTGTAGCCAAACATCCCAATTCCTTCCAGTAGCCCTTCGTCCTGGATCCCCTCAGCCCACAAATCCACCAACGTCAACTCGCAGGTACCACCTGTTCCTGCCAATGGGATGCTGGAGAAATCGCGGCATGGGATACTAACAGTTTGCTATTGATTTGTAGGTAGGTCTTAAAGGCTGTGTATTTTTAGATCTCGATTCTGCAATGTGTGCCCTCTGGTAATTTAACATAACTATGGGAAATCACCATTTATAGTGAATTTTACCATGAAAAATTTTGATTTTCCATAGATGTTAGTTTACCAGAGATCCCCCTTGAAATTCGCCCCGAGAGGTTGGGCCTACCAAAGTGTAGGGTGCCCAGCCTACCCCCCTACAAAATGGTATGGGGACACCTACAAAATGGTAGCACCCATGGGGGTTGCTGCCTACAAAATGGTGGCCCCAGGGTACCCCACCTGCCCACCAACATCAAGTATTTTGGGTTAACATAGTGTCCAAAAAACTGTGAAAAATGGGAGAACCATTTTGTAAGACACAAAGCAACCCTGTGGTCGCACCCTGGTCTTTTTTGGGCGACCAATTTGTAGACAGTTTGCTCTGAATGAAATTTCTTAAAATCTCTCAAGCAATACTTGCATATCTCAAATTTTTGCATCTTGTGCATCTGGCAATCGGGTTTCATAAAGTATCGTCCAACAGAAGTAGTCGGATAGACTGGACCGAAGTAGTGGTCATCGCTTTTTTTTCCTGGACCGGGGCTGGTTTCAAAATGTTGGAGGCTTTGAAAACGTTGCGATCATCTCCACCACAAAATCCACATGGTCGGCAGACACACTTTCTAAGTAGGATCCCCATTGCCAAGCCTACGTATTGCAAAGGCAGCCACCACAATCCCCTCCAACAAACCCATGTAGCTTGGCACTCGAGATTATTACAAAATATATCTTGAACCAGCATGAACCAGCTACAAAATGGTAGTGCCAGAGTATCATGAACATGCTTGTGGATGTGATGGCGCCCTTCCATTTTGTAGACAGATTGTTTGTTCTGGATGGTTCTGGAGGGCCCTTGAAAGTCATAAAAAAAAACATCTAGCTTTCCCATTTTTCACATTTTTTTGGGACATTATGTTAACCCAAAATACTTGAAGTTGATGGGCAGGTGGGAGACATACTAAGGTTTCCATAGGTTTCCTGCTTCATTCAGCACTGGTTCTCTGTGGAGCATGGCGGCCTTTTTTCCCTCTGGATGTATTTATCAACTCCCCTTACCCATCTACAAAATGGTATTCCAAATCTTCTACAAAATGGAGGTGCCTGACACTGGCATATGATCTTGTTCTCATATAAAGTGATGTTGGGTGTGTATAAACAGGTCTCTTTCTACAAAATGGAGTGCCCCGACGGCAAATAAAACATAAAATCTGATTTATAGGGGGCCCAGGGCCTACCATTTTAAATGGGAAATGTCAACGGGGATTACCAGAGGGTATATCATTGATATCACGGGATATCCACTTTTCTAGGGGATAGAAAAAACATGAAAAAACAAAGGGTCTCCCTATTGCCAAGTTGCCAAGTTACTTTCCGAACTTCGGATACAATGGACATATCATGGAAATTAAGATGGAACATTTATAGCACCCCCCGCCGAAAAGATGCTGATTTCAGTGTGCCCCTCATCAATTCCAGGCTTTAGACTGGTCAGAACCAATAAAGGGGGGTTGCCTTTGGGGATAGAAACAATAGTAATGGAACATCCTAAAATATATACGTGGTTGTGTAATAGTCAGTTGTACATGGACAACTATAGATTGATATAGTGTAATAATATGAAATAATCCTATATAAATATACACATGGACAACTACACTATATAAGCAACAACATGGCGTGGTTGTCCAAGAATACGGCAAAAAACATCTACCTCCAATAAAAATATTGGCCATTTCCATCGAGGTTTCAAGTCATCGGATGTTGGTCACTTGACATCCGATGGAAATGGCCCGGAAGATCAACGATCAGAATCGGGACAACTTCCAACAACCAGTGATTTATGGATGAGGAACATATCATGATCTATAGTGATCTTAAAAACCCTCGAGTCGTTGGATATTTGCCAATCCATAGGTTTTGCCCTCTCTTTTTCTAGGCACCATTTGAGTTTGTCTGAAACTTAGGGTTCCCCCAAATCATAGCGAATCCAATGGTTTATCACAGTGATTTCAGCAGTGGGCCATCCCCAAACCTGCGGAAAGGATGTGGGCGGTTTTCACTTTGCTCACCGAAAAAGCCTCAGTGTTTTCTTCCAAAATTTAGGTGCTTCGAAGAAAATCCGGTCTGACGTTATCAAAATGCCTTGTTTTCAGAGAAAAGTAGGTAAACACCGGCATTGGTTGAACCCATGGATTCCCCCCTGGAGGTCCCCCCGATAAACGTCCTACAGACCGACAGGAGGTCCCCGTGAAGAGCGGAATGCCTGGCCAAATGTCGCCTGAGCGACTCAAGCTGAGAGGCGAAGCAATGACTGCGACTGGAGCATCCCACTTAAATGGCGCATAAAACCCCAGTTCGGTCATCCCATACATATATTTTATGTATGTATAATTATGTATATTTGAATATATTTGATTATATTTGTATATACATACTATATGTGTGATATAATTATATATAAGATGATATAAGTAGGTTACAGGATACCAGGTCAAAATAACAGTGCTATAACCCCAGTCACTCACCAGTTACTATAACCGTTCGTCCTTTCTCCGTGGCGGCCGGTCCCATTCCGAGGCGCGGGTGTCGCAAAACTTCAAGGTGGTCGACGTGGTGGTGGAACTGGTGGAGCTGGAACTACTGGAACTACCTGGCACCATCTGGCACCCATCTGACCGAAAAAAACGTGAAGAACGGGAGTTTGGTCACGGCCAAACATCGAATCTTTTTCTGAATCTATATGAATATATATGATCTATATGACCTATGTTAATTTTGTTAGGACATATAACTGGAATCACTTAATAGAACTTGGAGGACTTGGAGATGGGAATTTTGTCCAGGACTGGCATCTGAGTCTAAAGGTTGTGAAGCTTTCGCAAAGATCCATAGAAAAATCGTGAATTATAATGAGACATCAAACATCCATATGATCCATATGGGCTTGTCCTGAAACTAGGGCCAAGTCATCATTTTCCCAACAAACAAATGACAAAGCGTGAGGGTACCAAATCCAACTATAGGCCAAAATCCAAGAAACTGCTGCTGGTACTGCTTGAAGATGTGGAGCTACTTGACGTTGAACTGGAGGATGTGCTGCTGCTCGTTGTCCGCGACGTGGAGGACGTTGTGATGGAGGTGGTGGTTCCGGTGATGGACGTGGAGGAGCTTGTAGTGGAGCTAGTGCTGCTGCTGGTGGTGCTACTGGTACTCCAAGTGGTGGTGCTTGAAAATGTGCTGCTGGTGGTTGTTTGAGTGATGCTTGAGAGGGTAGAGGTGGTGTGGGTACCTGTGGTGGAAGTGCTGGTGTTTGTAGCTGTTGTGGTGGTAGTGGTGTTGGTGGTGCTGGTGTTTTCATAGGTGTAGTTGACCAAAGTGCTGCTCGTCGTTGTCAAGGATGTAGTAGATGTGCTGATTGTTGAAGAAAATGTGAATGTGGAAGTAGTAGTGGAAGTTTGACTCACCTCAAATATGACCACGTCTGCTTGCAGCACAGGTTCCCGCTTCTACTTAGAATCTTGCGCCTTTTCCAATGTACTAAGTCTCCTGGAAATGTATCCTATGCATCCATTGATATTTTTCAAGGGAGCCTTCTCTTAAAAATCGTTTTTGCTGCCCATGTTTATCCCAAATCTCATCTAGTCCATTCTATTCCAATATAATAGTCCGACAAAAGAGGGATGAGGTTGGACTAAATCATACAAATGATATTCCTTCCCTTTTTCATGATTGTAGTTCAACAATATAATCCTATATAATCCTCATATCATCTAATCCATCTAATCCATTCAAATCCAATCATCACTTCTGCGACACTCTGAGGTTGAGGCGGTGGATGTCGTTCTGGAGGTGGACAGGGACGAGGTGCTGCTACTGCTGGTGGTGAAGGTGGTGACACTGGACGTGCTGGTCACGGTGCTGCTGGTGTTGGTGACGGATGAAGTGCTGCTGGTGGATCTGGTAGTGCTGGTGCTGCTTTCCTGAGAAAAAGGTGGTCCAAGCAACAAAAACACACATATTTCCTTAATCGATTCTCCATTTCTAGTAGATGCTCATGGATTTCCAAGAACATATGCCAACAAGAACAACATATTCCCCCAAATATTCTCCATCTGCCAGTAAAAAAAACACATATTCCCTCAATTGATTCCCCATTCCTAGTGGATTTTCCAATGGGAAAAGCCCTGCGACAACCAACTCAATGTTCAAGTTTCGGTGGTGCTGGAAGACGTGGTTTCGGTCGATGAAGTGGTGGAAGTGGATGACAATGTGCTGGAGCTGCTACTCTTAGAGGAGCTGCTGGTCGTAGAGATGGTGACACTGGAACTGGTCGTGGAGCTGATGCTGGTGGAACTACTGGTCTCCGTGGAGCTGGTGCTGCTGCTGCTGGTAGAGCTGCTGCTGGAAGTGCTGCTGCTGGTCGTTTCCGTGGCCATTCGGCTGCTGCTGGAGCTAGTGGAGCTGGACGTCGACCAGGTGCTGCTGGAAGTGACAGAGCTACTGCTGCTGGTGCTGCTGGAAGTTCCAGTGGTAGTGGTGCTGGTGTTGGTGGAGGTGGTGGAGGTGGCGTTGGAATAGTTCGTGTAAGTCATGGTCATACCTTGGCAATGCAGTTTCTTGGTGCTTGAAATGTGGGGATTAGAATCGAGGAATGTAGGAGAAAAAATCTCCGTCAGTGTGCACATCCTTCTCATCTTTACTCAAAACATGTTTGTTTTGAAAATAAGTGTGTATTATGTCAAATCTTGTCATATATCTGTATACAATTATCTGACATTACATACATTACTATATATTACTATAACGATCTACTATATACATATTAATGAAATTGTCATTATACATATTATTATGAATATATCTGTAATTATCTGCATCTAACACTTACTGCTACGCATCACGTGATGCATTTTAGACTTCATCCCAGATAGAATACATTCGACCACGATGTCAAAATATGCATATTTCTCTGTTCTACTATACATATATAGTATATAATATTTATATATGTATGATAAATCCATGATGATAAAAACAATAATTTCCATACTGTTGTAATTATATATATATATCACGACAATATGACCATACAGTTTAATAAAATATTCATAAATATATTCAAAAATATGTGTATATCATGTGTATATATATATACATACTATATATATATATACTATAATATATATATATACTATACATATACTCTAGACATCGCATCCGACGCAAACGTCCACGGTGCTTGTTCCAGTGGTGGTGCTCAGCGTCGTCGTCGAAGACGTGGAGGTGGTGGAGGTACCAGTCTGGGTCAAGGTGGTGCTGGTGGCATTGCACGTGTCTGCGGGCTCCTTGCGGTCACCGATGCGCCAGCGCGGACATGGGACATGGGACACCACACGAAACATGGGGATATGATGGGGACATGATTGGGATATGTTTGGGATATGATAGCAATTTGGGATGTTATGGGATATCGGATAACTATTGTGGGATATTAATTGTGGGTGTGGTATCTGAAAATCATGGGAAACGAAAACAACATGGTTTGACACTTCATTTTCCCGACTTTGAAAACTAATTTCCCCTAATTACTTTATTTAATCACCATGTTCGGACGAAAACCCCATATGTCTTGATCATTTCCATTCATTTCCTGCAAAAACCCATGAAATGGCAAGGCAAGTCAGCTTTAATCGCCTAGATTGGTCGGGGAATTGTACACATCCAACAGTGAAGACTGGACTGCAGTTCGATTTGAGATGTATTCTTTCCCCGGATAGTGAAATACATTTTCGGCGAAGTGTTTCCTCTGAAAATGGCAAGTTTCAGAATGAACATGATGATTAACCAATGGATTCCGGGGCTCTCCAAACAATTTCAGGTACCTGGCGTTCTGATTTTTCTCGTAAATTTCACTTAGTTAGTACAACTCCCAGTAGTTAGTCCAAACAAAAACATTCCACTTTAGATCCACTTAATATAGTTCACCTCAGTTTCACGTGTTTAGACCCTCCGTTATCCTCAAAAATGGTGGTTTACCCCATAATCTCCGTGTTTTTTTGCCATTTTTGGGCTGGTACTCCTCCCTTAACGCGCCCGAAGTCCCGAAAAGTCCCGTCCTGCTCTTCGAGCAGCGCCGCTCCCAGGCGAACCCCGGGGGGCAACATGGGATGACCTTGCCATTGAGCCATGGGGACCATTGAGATATGGATCAGATCAGGAGAACCATGAGACATGGGCCACCAGTTTTTCGATACCCTCTGGTAGTGACTAACATAGCTATGGAAAATCACCAGGTTTAATGGGTAAATCCACTATAAATGACCATGTTCAATAGCATTATTTTAGTTTACCAGAGGGTATGTTCAAATAGTTTTTCGATCATATGACCTAGGTGCCATCCAAAAACAGGATTCAACGACTAAAAAACTGGTTGGTGGTTGACCTAGCCCGAAAAATGATGGAGTGAAAGTCAGATTCGATCATCATCCCAACTATTGGGGACAATAAAAATCATGTTCCAAACCACCAACCAGAAATAGTTTTAAAATGAAAAATAAAGGGAACAACCCATCTCTGGCAGGAAAAATGATGATCCCTGGGATGAAACAGGTCGGTGTTTACAGTAAACTGCGGCCAAGGCGCATTGGTGCGCAAGCGAAAGAAAAGCACTGCAAAATGTGACCTGGCATCAACCATGGCGTTTGGGGAAAATGCCGAGTTCGATGACTTTTTCAAGGATAAAATGCCAAAATGTCCACCAAAATTATAGGGAATTTCCCCAGATTTTCCCACATGTTCCTATGATTCCTATGATTTTCCCACACCAAAAAGGGGATGTCCAAGCCGCGGCCAACCACCAGAAGTGCAACTGAGGTACCAGGGCGAGGTACGCCCCTCCAACCATGCTTACCTTTCGGTACAGGAAAGGACAGGAAAGGACAGAGGGAAGTGGAAAAATCCAGAAAAACAACTATATAACTAGGTTTAACCAGGATGGAAAAGGTATGAACCATCCAGTGAAAATTATGAATTGAAAAAATCCACAGAGAGTCAGCTATATTGTTAGAAAACGATAGAAAAAACGACGTCTTTCACATGGCCTCATCTCGTTTCTGGATTCAGCGCGAATCTCAATCCCTCCAACCTTGATCCACAAAAGCCTACGGCAATTGAAACGTTGCGTGAAATTCAGCAATTGTTCGGAGTCTTCGAAACACTGCAAACGTCATTCCCATTGTATGTGGTTGGTGTCAGAATTAATCGTATATAGTATTGTATATATTATAGCACATTCGGCTTCACGCTCGTTTGCTGCGTATAATTTGTATGTTAATATAATAATAAATGCGATTGGTATAATACAATTCATCATACGGATCATATATAAATTCATATACAAGACTTATAGTTCATAACCTATACCCTTTGGTAAACAAACAGTTTGCTATTGAAAATGACCATAGAAATAGTGGATTTTCCCATTGAAAATGGTGGATCTTTCCATAGTTATGTTAGTTTGCCAGAGGGTAATCATCAGCATCATAACCGGGTGTATTGCTCAGTCCTTCAACTGCGACTGGTGTTCCTGAAGCTCCTCATTATGAGTTGATCCAGCAGACTCCAATTCGGCCTCTAACCTGGCTTTTTAAAGGCGCCGTTGTTGGTGGAACATGGTGGGAAAGTGGGACGGTTTTTGTTACCACGTGTACCATCCAAACTTATGGAACATCGGACACTGCCATCCAAAACATCTCCAAACTCAAAACTGGGAAGAAATTTGAGAGAAAACCAACATCTTTGAATGGGCTGGGCTGTGCCCATTTTGCATATCTACCAATCTACCATTTCCACAGGCACTTCATTCACTTTCATGAAATTGTCCAAATAGTCACAGGCAACCAGTGGTAAAGCCACGACAAAAGGACAGGCCCAATTTCAAACAAACAGTGTCTTTCAATAATTTTTTAACATCAACATAAAAATTTCCCTAACAATCGTAATTTTGTAGGTACCCCTGATGACATTCCCAACGTCTGGTTGACCTGCCATCAGCTACGATTCAGCTACGAGATGAAGCCCGCAGGACCTTGGCCCCACTGCTATGCCTAAAACATGCCGAGCGCACTCTGCCTGACAGGGCCGCTTTGGGGAAGTCCATGCAAGTCTGAAACTGCCTGGCTTGTCACCTATGTATATACATATGCATATACATAACATATATTGTAGATAATGTGTGACATTAATATGTATATATATATATATACATGCATAATTATATATTGATATATACTATAATATTATATTGTATTATATATATAATTATATTATATTATTTTATATTATATGATATTATATTATATTACATTATATTATATTATACTACATTATATTATATTATATTATATTATATTATTTTATTATATTATACTACTATATTTTATCATATTATATTATATTATACTATTATATTATACCATATTATATCACATTAGATTATATTATATTATATTATAATGTAATATATTATAAAATACATATATATATACTCTCTACTCCGTCTCCTCTCTCTCCTCCCCCTCCTACTACGCGCCCGCCCGCCGCCCGCCAGACGACAAGAAAGAAAGAAAGAAAGAAAGAAAAATAACAAACGAAAGAAAGAAAAGAAGAACGAACGAAAGAAAGAAAGGAACAAAGGAACAAAGAAATAAAGAAAGAAAGAAAGAAAGACAGATAGAACGATAGAAAGATAGAAAGATAGATAGAAGAAAGAAATAGAAAGAAATAGAAAGAAATAGAAATAAGTAGAAATAAGTAGAAAGACATAGAAAGAAATAGAAAGAAATAGAAAAAAATAGGAAAAGTAGAAATAAATAGAAATAGAAAGAAATAGAAAGAAAAACAAAAGGTAGACACTAGATAGCTAGATAGATAGATAGATCGATAGATTGATTGATTGATAGATAGATATAGGCGTCTGAACTCCTTGAACATTAACCTCCTGGATCCGTAATATAGGCGTCCCAATTCAGTCGCAAATCACAATTACATATATTATATCTAAAATATCACATATATACACAGAAATATATCGATACACCATTCTTATCTGTAAACTAACATATAGATGTGGAGAAGCTACTATTTCTAAATCTTTTTCCTTACGCGGTTCTCTATGGGTTTTGCACATCCTTTTGTAATTTACCCCAAGGTAATATAACCCTGAAGTCTGGTGAACAAACATCTGAGCACCGTGAAAAATCTGGTTCAGAGCTACCAGTATTTTCTTAATATAGGATCACGGTACATCCCTTTTCAATACTTTCTCGATCTTCCACAATGTGGGGCCCCCAGTTCAAAGATGGTTTATAAACCCCATTAACTATATAGTTATTTGCGCAGCATAAACGTTAATAAACCCCATTTGATAGTTATTACCCCATTAAACCCCATTAAACGTCATTAAACCCCATTAAACCCCATTATATACGTCATAAACCATAGCTATTGGAGTGATGTTCACCAACTTCGCGATCGGAAAACGGGGACAAACCCCTGCCTCTTGATGGCGTCGGTTCACGGCTTGCAACAACTTGGCGGTGTCCGACTGGAGCTGCAGGTCCTTTCGGCCGGGGAAATCCTGGGAACATCGGAGCATTTTCATGGTGAAATCCATGGAAATTCTATGGAATTCCATGGGGAAAATCCAGGGGAACTATTCATGAGATCTAAATGGAGGGGATTTGCCAATCTGCATGTTTGATTGCAGGCTAAGAAGCTCTGACAAAATGCTGGTTGGTTCAGCCTCCGCCCAGGAAGGTCACCCTGAATGGGAAGTTGCTGATACTATACATTCGCAGTTTAGAAGCTACTGGAAAGCAGAAAAAATTGAAAGCCTTTGATAGTGATATACAGATTATTTCCTGTTTTTTACTAGTCCGTACTGTGTACATAACTATAATATATATATATATACATATTCATTTACTTAGTTACTTGCTCACTCACTCACTCACTCACTCACTTACACACTATATAATTATATATTAATATATATATATATATATAGATGTTTCCCAAAATATGGATACCCCTACGTAGTAGATATTCCATGTTATTTGTGTGGATTTTCCATGAAAGAAACAAGGCGTTCCAGCGGGGTGTGCAGGTCCTTGGTGGCTGTCAAGGTGCGTTGCCTGTTGAGCTCTACCTGAGGCAATAGGTTGAATGGGAAGTGATCGCTTTCATAATCGGTTCAAATTAAATGAGTATACCCATAGGATCCATGTATGCTATATATGGTAACATTTACCATCAATATACCCCCAATGTTAGCATATATAGCATACATGGATCCTATGGGATATAGTATACCATCTGGTTATTTAACATAGCCATGGTATAGATTGCCCATAGAAATAGATGGTTTAGCTATTACAAATGGTGATTTTCCATGGCTATCTTAAATAGCCAGAGGGTAAATGAGTAGTACAAATCTAAGACCATGATTAGTAGCTCTACCGATGCTTCCAGAAATGAGTATAGATCTAAATGACTGATAAACAGGTCATAATCTTCGATTTAGAAATGCAGTCTTCAAAAAAAATGCCTCATTGAGTTTTGTCATAGGATGATACTGGCATAATGATGGATAATCATCCTCTGACATCCCAGTTTACGGCATAATGATGTCCTATGGTTTTACTATGATACTGGCTTATGGGAGCATACTGGGATCATAGTAAACCCATGCCCAAGAGGTTATGAAATCGGAACCACCTAGCTGGGATGACGTAAAATTACCCCGAATGGTTGAGTAGTGGGGATACTTCCGATTGGGGCTACTACATTGGTTGATACATTGAATATGTGATTGTCATGGTTTGTCCAATAAAAAAAAGGGAAAAATTGAAAATCCCATTGTGAAATGAATGGTATCCATTAAAAGGCAATTTCAGGGGATACCCCATTTCTGGGCTCACAATATGTATATATATATATATATCATTGACATGGGTATGGCTTAAACTTAGTGGGCCCTCAAATTGGATGGTTGTATAATGTTGTATATTCAAAATGACTGGGTCTGTAGGTTCCCGGGTATGACTTCTTTAGCCAGAACCATATTTTCACAAAAAGTGGGATCGCGTCTTTACATGCTACAAAGTGGGTAGTAGATATCTGTTGACATACTGGGAATGTAGACCAACATAGTTGTTTCCCATCTTCGTCCTAAAAGCTGCCGTTTGAGCCATGAAAAATTGCGCAAGTTTTCCCATTCCCTGAAGTACTGGTTGATCCACAGGCCTCCGATTCACAAGGAGCAGGTCAAGAAATGTTGATAAATGGATCTATTATTAACATTGATAATTAAGGATAAATGGATCCATTTAAGGATAATAAATGTTGTTCAACAAGGTTCAGGGATAAAACCGCCTTATTATTATCAATATATGGTTTATTTCATTGTATTTTAAACAATTATTATAAATGTTAGCTAAACCCAATTTCATAAACCATCCCCAAAATCCATCATTTCTATGGCTGGGATTCCAACTTCCTAGTCATGCGAGTTGTGGCATTGGGTTGCCCACAGAAGTTTCCCAATCGTTGAATATACCATTAGTCAATAGACCACTATAAGAAAAGGTCGTTATACATTATATTTTAATATATATATATTATATGTATATGGGGGGTTCCTAAAATGGGTTCCCCCCAAATCATCCATTGTAACAGGATTTTCCATGAAATAAACCATCCAGCTATTGGGGTACCACGGAAACTCCCATTACCCCCAATTCATGGCTCTGAGCTTCTGACTTTGGTCTCTTTGAGGCGCGTGTGACTGGGACTTTCTTTGGCCCACATGAAGGACCTTGGGAGTTCCGTGGGATCATCCCAGTGCGTCCCTGAAATTTTCTGGTCAATCACCAACTTTTTATGGCCAGTCTCCAGGGGGATTTCATAGTCAGGCTGAAATGGACCATGAAAAATCCCTCGGCTGAGTGCAGGTCATCTTTGAAACAATTCTCGCTCAAGGTTGGTCCTGGCAGGAAACGCGTTAAATGTTTGAAACTGGCCAAACGATTTGTTCCATAGATTTCCATAGTCCATAATGTTCCATAATGTTCCATAATGTTCCATAGTATCTAGTCTGCAACTGCCTCCAGTCTCTTTTCTTTGTTTTCATGAATGAATTTGCTCACATTATTGGACCAACTTCACCTGAAATCCAACGCTTTGGTTGTTCTCGACAGGACAAGCACCTGATTCACTGCTCCGATAAGCCAGGCTGACAGAAAGATGTGGACAACGGAATAATGTCCATCCAAGACTGATGTAGAAAACGACCCATATGATAACATGTTTACATAATACAATTGCAACGGAACAGCACTTTCATGGATGCTCCATGATTTATCTTCACTTGCCACAAAGCTAAGGCCCAGACAATGCTCATGGGATGAAGATCCCTTTGGAGTCAAACAATGCATCTCATCACGTGTGAATCTTTTGTGAAACTTGTAAATCGCGTATTTGATTGTGTGAATGCGTTCTGGCTTGCAATTTTGAAATTCTGTCTAATGCTCATGTTGCATTGTTTTTTTTTCACATGCTGATACGTGCTGATACTGTGCAAGTCCCTGCATGTTATGAGGTTTTGGTGAGATTTGATTGAGTCATCTACTCCTTGCAGCAAAAGCTTTGAGAAAAGGATTGGAATGGGTTGGTCCAAAAATGTTCAAACTAATTGGGGCACAGTAGCCTCCAATAATATGGCATCGTATGGTTTAAAACCGACATGTTCCCCCACATGTTACGCGGAGCCATTTTTATTGGGCGGAATCGCAAGACCAAAGACATCCGTGTGAGTTTTTTTCCATATATTTGAACTGATGGTACCATGGCCATTTCAGGAAT